AAAATCACAACGTGCCTACGCGACCTTATCATCTACATCTACATCTACACCTACTATAAGAACTGCTAAACGTCATATCTCACAGCCTGAATCGCAGGGCGGTAATGCGCCGCGGACGGCCCAGATCGCAGGCCGATCAGAAAACTTTCTGATCGGCCTGCGATCTGGGCCGTCCACGGCGCGTTACCGGCCTGCAATTCGGGCCGTGAGATATCGGGCCGAGATATCGCTACCGGAGGCTACCGGAGGCCCCCGTTCGCCCGCCCGTCAGCCCGTAATCGTGGCCGCCCCCCCCCACCCCACCCCACCCCACCCCACCCCACTCCGTCAAGCTCGGTACCGAATCGCCCGCGCGCCCGTGTTTTTGTTTTGTTTTTGTTTTGTTTTGTTTTTTTTTTGTTTTTTTTTGTTGTAATTACTGAAAAGGGTGTCCTTGAGGCCGGGGTCCTCACAGTCTACCCGGTAACCAAACCAAATCGTCTGGGAGCATTACCCAGTGTTCGCTTTTTACAGGACCCAAAGGGACCCGCTATCCTAAACATGACACAATGCATCTATCCTAAACAAAAGGACTCACACCAGAGATCACTGCCTCCTACTGTTGTGCCCCTATGACACCAACTCCTCATTACAAGCACTCTATCATTCAAACACCATCGTAGACAATGACAAAACATTCCATCGTATGAACCAAGCTACTACCACAAAAAAATTAACAGGAACCTAGAATCGCTAACATATGAAACTACTCAGTAGCAACAAGGAGGATAGAACTGTGGGGTCTAAAAGCGACCCATAGTCAAGGACCTATCTCGGTCTATGTACCTGCCCCTCCAGGGGGGTTGTGCTGCAGCCAAGGACAAAAACACAAATGGCCAACTGGGGAGATAGAGGACAGAGCCCCTTTCCTAGCCCATGTCTTACCAAACCAATACCTGTTCTTTTTCACCTGGGCTGAGGATGCCCTCCAATCCACCCTAATGGCCAACCGGATTTGACTTTTTATCTCGCTAACTATTCCCTGAACGGTCGAGCCCTCCTTATGAAACACTGCATTGTTTCTACTTTTCCAGATTGCCTCCATTATTATTCCTCTGCAGACGAGAGCCGTATACCCCCAACCTTCCGACAGATCTGAGTCTACAGGAGAGGCCCCAAATAAAATCCACTCATGATTCCATGGGAACTCCCCTTTGGACATATTTTGCCAATGTGTTTGCCACCAGGACCAGATCTGGAAGGAGGCCGGACAATACAGCCAAATATGGGAGGCCGTCTCCCAGCCCCATTGGCACCGAATGCACTGCGGATCAACAGGCATACCTTTTTCTGCTAGCCATAAGGCCGAAGGGGTGGCCAGCAAGGACTGTAACCACTGTATGCTAGCTTGCTTCTGAGAGGGAATTAGCTGGAAAGCCTTCCATAGCTTGAAGAGATCTACCGATCCCACTTCGAATCCGAGTTGCTTACTCAGGCGTCTGGCAGCCGTGGTGATAGGCTGTTTCTTACATTTAGCTCTGAGAATCTTCACACCCCAACCAGGCTTGTATTGAAACACAGGGGCGATCTCCGAGGGTGACTCCAGTCCATCCCATCCCATCAGACATGGCTCTACAGAGATATCAGAAGCATTTTCATACAGAACATGCATCTTACCCTTTCCTCTTGCTCCTGGGGACCAGATCCTGCTTTCTTCATATCCTCCCGTAGAAGACAGGACCTTTTCTCCCACATGCTTTAGGCACGCCTGTTTCTTGCTGTCAACATACCTCTCCCAGATTTGGACCTTAATGCCTTGGGGGATTTCTGGACCTTCCACCTTCAAGAACCAGCCAGGAGCAGAGGGATCTTTTAGCCAAGTACCAGCCTGTGGGAGACCAGGGTTTTGCAGTAGGAACAGCCAGAAATCCGGTATCGCCCTCTTAAGAGCAGAGAACCGGCTTTCTATGTCCCGACCATGAGGGAGCAACCTCCGCACCTGGTCCGTCCGTACCCAATCCCCCTCCCTCTGATCCCATAAATCCTTTATCTGCATAATACCTCTCTCCACCCAAAATCTTCCAAAAGATCCCTTGGAGCCATCTGCCATAAACTGAGAGCCATCCTCCTTCATTACCCAAGGGTTCTCAAACAGAAACTGATTAAGTACCTCGTGCTTCGTGGAGGGCTGGGATCTTGACGAAGGGAATAATCTTCCCCACGCATGGAGGATGCTTCTCCACAACCTGGACTTTGGACGGCGTTTCGCAAAGGATGGTATGAACAAGGATCTCCACACATCACTACCTTTAGCCAGGCGCCAGTCCCCTACAAGGATGTGTTCCGCCAATCTCACCCACCATTTGGAGCATGGACCCCAAGTAGCTGCAATAAGCCATTTAATCAGAAGGGCCAGGTTCTGTTGGACTGGGTCAAGGATACCCAGACCCCCCTGATCCTTGGCCGTACACACCTCATCCCACGCCACCTTATGAATGAACCCCTGCTGATCTTCTGCCGCTGGCTTCCACAAGTAACGGGCCGCTGCCTTTCTTATTTTTGCGTAGGCCTCCTCTCCCAGCAAGTGAACTGAAAGCGGGAACCATAGTAACGAGAAAGCCGCCGCTGACAGGACCATCGCTCTGCCATACAACGAAAGTTTATGGCTGCGAACCCACCCTGCTATGCGGGCTGAAACTTTACCCACCAAAATGTCATCCTGAACCGCTGCACAGTTAGAAAGAGAAACTTGAATACCCAAGAAGCAATCCGAGGAGTTCGCCGGAATTTGTCTCAGACCCCAATTAACACACAGGCTTTGGGAGGGAGGGAGGAAAAACACAGACTTGTCCCAATTTATGGATGCCTCTGATAGCGTACAGTATGTATCTATTACCGTTTTTAATTCTGACAAGGATTCTACCGTATTTTCACTAGCTATAGTTAAATCGTCCATTATAGCCCCCCCTTTCCATTGCGCAGACTGAGATAATTGTAACCCCTTAATTTTATAATTCTTTCTTATGTCATTCAATAAAACTTCCAGCTGAATGACAAAAAGAAGGGGGGCAAGCGGACACCCCTGCCTCAGAGAACGGGTTCAGCGGAACTTGCCAGACAACCTTCCGTTTACTATTACTACTGATGAGACGTCTGCATAGCTGGCCTTGACCCACCAAACGAACCCTTGCCCAAAGCCAAGACTTTTAAGAGTGGTATGGACAAAACTCCAACCAACTTTGCCATAGGCCTTCTCCATATCAAGGAGAAGGACTGCAACACCTCTGTTTTCCTTCCCTATCACTTCTAACGCTTGGACTGTCGCCAAAATATTATCAAAGATTGAGCGTCCCTTAACAAAAGCACCCTGCTCCCACCCGATCAATTCAGGCAACAGCTTCGCTAAACGCAGGGCTAAAGTTTTAGCAAACAGTTTATACGTTACATTCAAAACCGAAATCGGTCTCCAGTTCCGTACGTCCCTTTTGTCGCCTTTTTAATAGAGGAGCGAGATCATGCCCAATGTGAAGTTTCTTGGAAAGGAGCCAAAGGTCTGGGCTTTGTTATAAATTTCGCATAAAAATGGCCCAAAGGCTTGCCATGACGCCATAATCAATTCGACTGGGAGCCCGTCCAGGCCGGGGCATTTTCCTTTTGCCATGAGTTTTGCCGCCATCAATAATTCATCCACTGTCATCGGTTGGTCTAACTCTTCTTTAGCTGAATGAGTAATGGTAGCATACGGAGCTTCCCAGAAATCTGAGAACTCTGACAAGTCCAAATCTGGGGGGTCCAGGGGTCTCCTAGTCGACACAATATCCCTATAATATTCTAAAGCATATTCGCACATGGTAATGGTGTCACTAGCTATCGGAGCAATAATCACAAAGGGGTGAGCTAGCTCTCTTACCAAAGACTTAGATTGCCTTAACAGTAGTGATCTAAAGGATAATTTGGTCATTCTATCGTAACCTATTATACCTCTAAGCTTCAACCATTCAAGCCAGTCCCCTTGTCTTTGTATCTGGAGGGCTTCTAGGTCCGCCAGAGCTTTCGATCTCTTTTCGGCCCAATAAAAGTTTGCAAAGGCATCCCTCCCCATTTTCTCTTCCGCAGCTTTAACTGCTTTTTCCAGGGACTGTTCCTTTCAGTTGCGGGCGGCGGCCTTCATCCTCGAAAATTCCACCAAAGCCGCTCTCACAATGGCAATACCGGAATCAGGCCAATCATTAGGATCGCTGAACAGATCTTGCGCTCCTTTCCAAGCTTCCATATGCGAAGACACCTATTTTGAAATGCCTTCATCTTTCAACAGATTCACATTTAAACGGAAAGGGGGGTGATGTATTTCTAATATATCCTTGGAAATAATATCCAGCGTTACGGGGTAATGATCCGAGAGCGAACCTATTTGTACGTCACAGAACATGCACCTGTCCCACGGAGAACCTCTTACCAAGAAGAAATCTAGTCTCTTGCTTGGCGCAGGCGTACGTGTATTGGGTTTCAGCCCAAACCACGTAAAACCATTGTCATCAAGGTTCAGAGTCTTGTAGGCGTCCACTAGGTTCTGAGATTCCATGAATTCTGAGAGCGGCAAAGTATCCTGCCTCACCTGATGTATTTTCAAAGAGTCTAGGCCCGGGTTAAAGACCGTGTTCCAATCTCCGGTCAGGATCAAATTTTCTGTATCCGGGATCCAGCCTGGGAGGGCGGCAAAGAAGGAAATTCTTTCCGCTAAATCCACCGGGGCATACACAGTCATAATCGCCCTCGTTTCTGCCTCCGCTTCGAATTTCACCCATAACCATCTTCCCTCTGGGTCGATATAATGATCCAATATATCTATTTCCAATTCCTGATTAATTAAGATCGTCACACCGCCCTTGGAACCCTGAGCAGAAGCCCAGAATTGCGGGCCTTTCCACCAGTTCGTAATATTGGACAGTTTCGGATCGTTCAGCTTCGTTTCCTGCAGACATAGAAATAGGACGTGGTGTTTATATACCCAGGAGCATAGTCTCGCTTTCTTAAATTTATTAGCAGTATCCCCTAAGCCACGACCGTTCCACGTGGCAAATCTAAATCTTCTTGGCAGGACCATCAACTGGGTCCTTGCCACGAGTTAATTGGATGCGGGTTCCTGCCTGATTCTTAGGGACAAACTCCCTTGTATGCCCCTAAGCCTTCTGCTGATCCCGCATTTGCTTTTTTTCCAAATTCGCTACAAAGGCAGGGGAAGTCAGGTAGTCGGCAGACCCTCACTGTGACAGCCATTGTGCCACAGTGAGCGCCGAAACCTCCTCCATGATCGAAATATCACAAAGTGTATCAATACCCACATCCAGCAGATGGGCCAACGGCTGCCAGTGGATATCCAGATTCCGCATTTGTGCTCTAGCAAGGGTATCAGCTTGAAGAGTCAAAAAGGAAATATGAACAATATATACATCCCCATTTGGGGTTGTGTGTACATGTCTCCCATCTTTGGCTTGGACAAGATAGAACATGAAGCATACCCTTTCAGAACTGACTCAGCTGCCCAACCCGTCTGTTGGACATCCCCTGGGGGGCCTGCAGACGGAAAGCAGGGGAAGGCCAAGGTCTCGTCAGGTAGTTTATTTGTGAGCACCATAATACCATGGGGTGAGAGCGTGCAGATTAAGGGAACAGCCAGTGCAGCCTTCACCCCTTTCTTCTTCTCTGCCTTTGACAGAGTTTTCATTGGCGGAGCCGAAGAGAGGGACGAAGTCAACTTGCGCCGTGTGACCTTCTTCTCCTTACCCTCTGAACCCTGGTCTACGAGGGCATCGTTCTTACCGGAGGACTGAGCTCCAGTTTTGGCTTGAAAGAGAACTTTCTTCGACTTCTTGGCTGGGGAGGCAATCCCTTTCCGAGGATCGTTCATGGGGGACTTACTCCGGGCCAACGATTTTAAATGGCCTTTCTTCCCCCCAGTACGTCGTTCATCTGTATTTTCTTCAGTCGCTTCGAAAAATTCCTTCGAATTGGAAGAATGAAACTCACGAGCGGGAACAGGCAAGGGCCTGCATGCTGTGATGGGTGTAGTTAATTCCTCAATCGATATGTTACCCGTGAGCGTCCAATCGAAGGATTCATTATCATAGGTCTTTATGGGAGAGTTCCCCCTCCCATCCTTAGCCCCGAACAAAGGCTCCAGGAAACCATCCTCGTCGTCCTCGGAGTCCTCCCCTGAGGAACGTGGGGAGAGTCGACCTGCAGCCTTGCGGGCTTTGGTTGCATCATACAAAACTAACGCATTACCCGGATCGGAATCCTTCGGACTCGAGAGTACCACCTCCTCTGTCGGGCAGTCTCCCTCGTCCCGCTTACACTTTTCCCTGAATAGGATGATATCCCCTTCCATCCGATCTACATCTTTCAAACCAGGAAGACCAGACCCGTCGCGAGTATTACTTACCGTTTGCTCTTTTCCCTTTTCCCGCCGTTCAGGTCTATTCTCCCTGAGTTCTTCTCCCTTTTCCGTAACATCGTCATTTTCCTTTCTCGACCCAGTACTGTCCCCCTTCCCGCCGGGTCCCTTCGAAGTCTCCTCCCAATCCCTTGCCTTACCCTTCTTCACCACCCATTTCGAGGAGCCCTCTTTCTCTTTCTCTTTCACCCGAACCTCCTCCGGATGGGCCCCATCCTTGGTTGGCGATGGCCCCTTCTTTCCCCCCCCTTCCGACGCCTTATCTCCTTCCCCTTTCTCGCCTCCCTTTCCTCCGATCGGACCACCCCCCTGCCTCTGTTCCCCTTCGAAGGAGAGTTTTGAGCTTTTGACTTTGCTGCACCCGCATATGACTTTTTGTTCTTCGACCAACAATCCTCATCTCCTTCCTTGTGAAAGTACTTCCTACAGGAGGGACACCAGGGAGTAGAAGGACAAACACTTCCAATTCTACATACCCGACATTGCCGAGGTCTACGATCAGATACCGTTTATACTGCAGTCTTGCTGCCGACTCCAGATCGAACCGAATGTTCAGCAAATCAGGCTCCACGGGATCATTATAGGCCGAAAACTCTTTCAAAATAGGGCCAAAAGCCTTGGAAACCACTTTGGAGATATGTGACGCCCAACCTCACGCTCAGCGCGACTTCCTGATCGGAGTGGGATGTGGGCTTGGAAGTGCGACAAGGGGTGTGCCAACGATTTTTGGGGAAAGTGGGGGAGTCTTAAGGGTATGAATGCAATTAGGCGAGCGTGCACAAGGGACTCACGGTCCGATGGGGCCGGGACACTGTGGGCGACGGGTTGCGGGAAAATTCCTCCGTGGTGGAGGTGGTCCTGAAAAGTTAGGCCGTCGGGGGCCGCCA